TACCAGCCGTTGGGCTGGGCACACTGGGGGCGAGGTGGCACAGGCTGCAACCTGGCTTGTGAAGCAGCGTGGGGAACACAACCACACACTTGCCTTCACTGTGATGACGCCCTTCCTTCCGACTTTCTTCATTGCATCAGATATGATGTTGCCAATTTCTTTGTCTCCATTTGCAGAAATTGTAGCAACCTGAAACAGTTAAGTAACTCTTCCAGATTAAATAGTGAAGCCAGTTCCCACAACTCCCTTCCCCGTTCCTAGTAAATTTATAATGGACATGGGGGAGTGTTTATGATTAGAGTGCAACAATTTTAACCTCTAGTTCAGTTCTTTTTCTGTGGTGCCAGAGACTGAACCCAGGGCCTGTGCATGGGGGCAAACACTCTTCATTGAGCCACACCTCAACCCACCAATTCTACCTCAGTCCATGATCTGCCTACATTTGGGGGAGGAAGTAAATAAAGCTGACACCTTTACTTTCCCTTAGCAGGTGTGGTGACATCATAAACCGATGACAAGTCTGCACTTTCAGGCTGAGGGTTGAACTCAGCCATAGAGAGCTTGTCCAGCATGCACAAGCCCCACGAACACACACACACACACACACACCACTATTTATATCCTCGCAGCCTGAAAATGACAACTTGTTAAAATACAAACTACGAGGTGAGTGTAGTAGAACATGCCTGTAATCCCTGTCATGTGATGCTCCTGTCAAAAGGCTGACAGGAGCATCACAAGTTCAAGGCTAGCCGGAGATGCACAGCAAGACCCTGCCTCAAAAATTCCAAGTTATGGCCACCAAATTCTTTGTCAATGCTATCAAGAAAAATGTTCCCAAGTCAGTGACTGGACAGCACTATTCTGACATTAGTGTGTGATAAAGAAACAATCACAGGGCTATTAATTTACTTTAAAAAAAAAAGTCCTTACCTGAGCAATTTCTTCGGGGGTTGTCACAGGTTTAGACTGTTTCTTAAGTTCAGCAATCACAGCATCAACAGCTAACATCACACCTAGTTCAAGAAGTCACATTATCACAATGCTTTTTCTCATGATCCCCATGTGAAGTACAAGTTTCCATTCAGGATACTTAACATTAAGCAAACACACAGCTGCTGTGCCTGTGCTCTTCCTAACACACGGAGGGAGACAGCAGTGATGTCCATACCACAAGCAGCCTGAGCACTGGACCGCGAGAAGGTGGACGTGCATGGTTAAATCTCACCACTCTGCACTTCTACGTAAGCTATTCTGAATTCCCCAATAGGAAGCACCACACTTCTCACCTTTGTTAAATAACACAAAAAAGGACCAAAACAGACAACACCCTTACTTTCAATAAAAGGCACCACGATTTTCTCATGGCTATAGTGCACATGAAGAAACGCTCCTACCTCTCCTGATTTCCACGGGGTTCGCGCCTTTGCTGATCTTCTCAAAGCCTTCCTTGGCAATGGAGCGCGCTAGCACAGTCGCAGTGGTGGTGCCGTCTCCTGCCTCTTCGTTTGTGTTGTTGGCAACATCTTGAACAAGTTTAGCCCCAATATTTTTGTATTTATCTTTTAAATCAATTGACTTTGCAACCGTCACTCCATCTTTTGTTACTTTGGGACTCCCCCAACTCTGTTCAATGATCACTGTTCTTCCCTATAATTGTGGAGGAAAAGCATCAGGATCTCACTTCAAGGATTCAAGAAGAGCCTTCAGTAATAACACAAGCTGCATCCCTCACCCACGGTACTAGTGACTGCTCCCTTGGCCTTAGCACTGAGCTGCATTCCAGCTCCTTTTTTTATTTTTGAGACAATGTCTTGCTCAGTCAATAAAGTGCCTAAACTGATGTTCAATTTGTAACCCTCTTGCCTCTGCTTCCCCCATACTGAGTGAGATTACAGGTGTGGGCTGGCCACTAGGCAGCACAGTTTAGTTGTTTGTTTGTTTTTTTAAAAGACAAGGTCTCCTTATGTAGTTCAGGCTGGCCTCAAGCTCAGGGCAATCCTCCTGCCTCAGCCAGCCTTCTGAGTGCCGGAGTACTGGGATTACAGGCATTCACCACCACACCTGGCACTAAATTTTCTTATCAATCCTGCAACATGAATTTCAATTTTGAACTTGTAATACTCCTGCCTCTGCCTCCCAAGATGCTGCAATTATAGGTCCATACCACGAGGCCCAGCTTATAATGTTTTCATCAGTCCTGCAAGATGAATCTCAAGAGCAAGTTCATCAATATTTTTTGTCCACAGACAAAATGACCTGTTTCTCTGCCAAGAGCACGACACTGAATTAGGTATCTTAGGAAATGGCAATCGTACACTAAACAATGTCCAAGATAACATACCAGAAAATTCCAAAGCATTCTTCCTATTGTATATACTTGTTTTGAATGGTGCCTGTTGTTTTTGATGATAATGGAATTTGCTCTAAAATTTACTCTGGGAGAATGAGGCTGGACGATCACAAGTTTGAAAGCCTGAGCAACTGAGTGACTGTCTCAAAAAAGGGGCTGGAGATGTAGTGCAGAACAAAAGGCCCAGGTTCAATCCCTAGTATCATGAATAAATAATTTACTTATCAAAATACTAACCACTATGGCAGAAACAGTATGACTGCAGCGTGTGGTGGCATATGACCGTAATCCTAGCACACAGGAGGCTGAGGCAGGAGGATTGCCAAGAATTCAAGGCTTGCCTTGGGGGACAGAGTGGATTCAAAGCCAACCTGAACAAGAGCTTGTCTCCCCCCCCAAAAAAGTGATTTTCTCCCCTAGATTCTCTCAATATAAGACTTAAAACACAGCAAAATTTGCACTGGGGTCTTTTAGATTTGTACCCAAATCTGTTCCTGAGTTGTACAAATAGCCCACGTATTTTAGACTTTTTTGGGGAGGGTACTGGGGATTGAATTCTGGACCTTGCGTGTGCGAGGCAGGTGGCAGGACCACTGAGCTAAGTCCCCAGCCCTAGACTGTTCTTTGGATCACTGATACTTTAATTACCTTCAATTTGAAATGAAGCATCACTTGACTTAACCACCTTCACAGACCAGCCTGGGCTACACAGTGAGACTTTGTTTCCAACAACAAAAAGCAAACCTGGAAGTATTACTCCTCCCTATTAAATGACAATTTGAACTACACCTTGGAACAGAAAAAAGGCAGGACAACATGGAGTGAAATTAGTGTGTGTAAGAAGGCAAATCGGATGCTTGTTTCACAATAGAATGCTGTTTTCCAAGTGCAGATGAAAGAAGTTCTGGAGAACATGGTGGTGAGGGCTGTAAGAACACAAATGCACTCAATGCCACTCACAAGTACACCGAAAAACAGAAATTGAGCTGGGAATTCAGTGTAGAATCCTTGCCTAATAATGTACACAGGCCCCAGATTCAATCCCCAGTAGTGCTACCAAAAGAAAAACCAAAATTTTACGTTAGTATATTTACCATCTACTGTAAGTGAAAAACAAAAAATTAACACCTATAGACACTCTTTAAGCTTTATCCTACATTAATCTATTTGTTCTATGCCCGGCACAGGTACTGGGAAAGGGTCCAAGAAATAACAGAAGAAGAAAAACTAAGAATACACCTTGAGCTATGAGTTACCACCTGATTACATCACACACTTCAAAAATAAATTTTCAAAAACACGAAGCAGCTCAAATTTCAAGACCATCAAATCTAAGCAAAGCCAAACCCAAAGCCATCTGTAAGTGGGTGCCTGAGGATCGGTCCATAGTTGAGTGTGACCACTTGCACGATGTTCCTCCCCAGGGTGTAGCCCAGTGGTAGTGCTGGATTAGTACGTTCAAAGCCTTGGGTTCAATCCCCAGCATCGCAAAACAAAGCCCCTCGTTATTCCTTAGTTAATATGTAATTATGAAAGCACTGGTACCTTTGGCCCCATTGTAACGGCGACAGCGTCGGCCAGGAGGTCTACACCCTGAAGCATGAGGGCGCGGGCGTCCGCACCGAATTTCACGTCTTTGGCATAAGCTCGAGTGAGCTGCGGGGCCAGCGCCCGGGACACTGGCCTTGCCTGGCGGAGGACCGCGGGTAGCCGGAGCATTTCTGAGGGGAAGGAAGCCATGATCGCACCGCCGCGTGTCGCAGCGCACACGTGTCCCCATTCCCCGTCCGGGGACCTCGATCGCGGGGTCCTCAGTCCCCGCGCAGGACAGAGGAGGGGCCACTCCCAGCGGGGACACCAGCTCCTCCGCCCGCCCGGTTAACCCGTCAGCACGGAAACGTTCCGGAGCACAAGCCACCCCAGAAGCACCCGGGGGAATAGAGGCAGGGGAAGGTGGCCTGAGAGCACCGGAACGCAGTTCCAGGGGTGCAGCGTCCGCAGGGACTCCGCGGGGCGCAGCTCTCCGCGCGGCCCGAGCGCCCCGAGCAAGGTCAAGCGGAGCCGCAGCGAC